CTGCTCTGTGCACTTTGTGAGCACTTTAAATATAGGAGCCAAACCTCTCTTTCCAACAGCCTGAGGGGCAGGTGTTCTCGCAGTTCCCATTCCATAGATCACCATCCTTCTGTGGAAAGTACTTCGTGGACTGTAACTTGCCATCTAGACTTTTGTATTCATTATTAAATATGTCAAAGCTTCCTTTTATTTCTCTTTTACTTTCTGTTTCCATTGAAATGAAAGTGTACGATAATCCACCATTATTTAGACTGAGTTTCTAAAAGGAAACTCCTGCTTGTAACACGGATAGCACAATCACAAGCACAAAGTGTTGGGATTCATCTGAGGCTGTCGAGGGACCCAGGTTGAGAAGGTGCTTCCAGCATCGCTGCCACCAAGGGAAAGCAGCCTCCCCAAGTTCAAAGCAGCGGAAGCACGTGCTCTCTGGAGTGAAGGAACGGAACTTTGCCATGCTTTTACTTTCCTTTTGTCTTTGTCTTATCTTGTTACACTGTTACATTTTACTATTAATCACTTTTTTAAAAATCTCAGATCATTAAAGTTTTGGGGATGTGGGAGTTCTCTTTTTTGAAAATCATTATCACCAATATCTGGCAACATTACTTTAACATATTTGCTGAGTGTCCTTTCCGAGGTTAACATTAAAGATCCTAGATGTTAGGAAGGAAAAAAAAAATCTTGAAAATTGTAAGATCTTAAGGAAAAAGGGAGAGGTTTGTATCCTCTGGACTGTGAATATGAGCGGACACAGCACACAGCGTCACGGGAGCTGGCAGTGCGTTGGGTAATGTGAATATGTCTATCCTATGTGGAATCATAGAATGGCTTCCCACAGTGGACTAAAAACACCAAACATTGCGGCATGACACGTCTTTCCCTGATCCGGCTGTTGCCTGTCTTCCCTATTCTTGTTTGGCTGTTTCCTACTTGTGTTTTTCAAACTTTTTTCTGTTCTTTTTACTATGACCCAGAGTGTTAGCTACATTTCACATCATAACTGTGTGCATACATATACATGGAACCAAAGTAAAAATGTCACTATATTAACTCTGTAGTGTACTCTCAGGATTTTTGACTGCATAGGGCAATTCGTTTTAGCCATCCCCAGATCAGCAAAATGGATTGATTAAATGCAGAGGTTATAAGACATATATGGTATGGAATAGAGGTTATAATCTTAAGGCCTACAGCAAATTCATATTAATAGCATTTCATTTGTTCCTTCTTGAGGTGGAAAACGAAGCTCATTCCCAACGTGCAAAGCCAAGGCAGCGACCCCAGGACCTCTTCTGGAGATGGAAGCTTGTTGAAAATCCAGACTGTCTCCACGGCCTGCCCAGTCGACCCCAAAGGAACACTGACATCAATTTTACCCTGAGGTCACTGCTAGAGACCCTGATCCATAAAGACAATCACTGCCAACTCCTCTTTCGTCTACTGCAAGGGCCAAGTTCCAAAATAAAGCATAAAAAGGTTTTTTAAAAGGAAATGTTAAAGCACGTGAGAACGCTAGCAGGCTGTGGGGCAGCTGAGCAGCTTTTCTCCCCTCATCTCTGTGTGCACTTCCCAGAGCATCTTGCATCCAAACCTGTAACCTTTCGGCAAGGACAGTAACTTGGCTGCATTTGCCTGCCATGCGCAACTGGAGCCAGCAGCCAGCACATCCATCAGCACCCCAGTGGAGGAGTTCGTGGAAGAGTTCCCTCTTTGTTTCTGTCTTCATTTTTCTTTCTCTTCTTTTCTCCTAAAGCTTTTATTTAACAGTGCAAAAGGATCAGTTTTTTTTGTTTGCTTTTTTAAACTTGAATTTTTTTAATTTACACTTTTTAGTTTTAATTTTCTTGTATATTTTGCTAGCTATGAGCTTTTAAATAAAATTCAAAGTTCTGGAAAAGTTTGAAATAATGAAATAAAAAGAAGCCTTCTTTTTCTGAGACAGCTTCTCTGGTAAGTGGCTTCTCTGTGAATTGCCTGTAACACATAGTGGCTTCTCTGCCCTTGTAAGGTGTTCAGTAGAGCTAAATAAATGTAATAGCCAAATCTACTCTGTTGGTAGCAATTGGCAGCCCTATTTCAGTTTATTTTTTCTTCAGTTTTCTTCTTTTTTTTAAAACAGTAAACCTTAACAGATGCATTCAGCAGACTGGTTTGCAGTGAATTTTCATTTCTTTCCTTATCACCCCCTTGTTGTAAAAAGCCCAGCACTTGAATTGTTATTACTTTAAATGTTCTGTATTTGTATCTGTTTTTATTAGCCAATTAGTGGGATTTTATGCCAGTTGTTAAAATGAGCATTGATGTACCCATTTTTTTTAAATAGCAAGGCACAGCCTTTGCCCAAAACTGTCATCCTAATGTTTGTCATTCCAGTTTGAGTTAACGTGCTGAGCATTTTTTAAAAGAAGCTTTGTAATAAAACATTTTTAAAAAGTGTCATTTTATTAAGAGTGAAGTTCCTGATAACCTAAAATTGGTAATGAACTAAATCCACAGGCCAGGGCAGAGCTGGTTTGTAGAGAGGAGCAGTTTGTGTAAGAGGGGTGCTGCTGGTGCAGCCTTCTCCAGGGATAGGCCAGCACTGGCTGTATACGGGCACCTTGCCCTGTCTCCTAGACATGCAGTTCTCAAAAGTACTTGTATGGCTTGGGCCTCCCTCCTTTTCCAGGTGTAGGTATGAAACAGGGTCACAGCAAAAAAAAAGAGGGTTGTCAGATGGGAGTGAGTCCTTTCCTGAGCACAGATCATGGGCTCCCACCATCTGATCGTGGTGCTCATTGAAAGTCCACAGGTACTGCCTCTCTTCAGAGCCCATTGGTGTTCAAACTGGGCTTCTACATCGTGGGGTCCCAGTGGTGAAGGTATGTCAACACCCCCACCCATCTTCCCAGTCAACATTTTCTAAGTCCTGAGTTGTATTTTGTAATTTTTACCTTACTAGTACATGTTAGAAGTTGGTATCTGATTAGGAAAAACTGTATTTTCAGTTTAAAAGTGAGTATGTCATGTTCTTCCACAATGGTTTTCTATCCCTTGAGCTACTTTGAGAACCACTATCACTGGTCCAACTTAAACCTCTCTGCTGAAATTTTAGCTCGATTTCCCCTTTGTAACCTTCAGTGCAGCTGGGGAACAGCTGGCTACCATACTTACAATAACCCTCCTCATACTGTACTTGAAGATTGCCATTAAATCACCCCTCAAATTTCTCTTCTCCAGGCTAAGTAATCCCAATTCCTTGAACCTTTCATCATCAGTCCTTTAATCATTTTCATTACTATCCTCTGGAACCTTTCCAATTCCTCTTCATTTAGTCCTAAACTTGAACCAGGAAAAAAAAAAAAAAAAGTTATGTTTAGGGGGCCTACTTGTTATAAAGGTTTCATATTCAGCCCTGGCCAGAACTTCATTTGAAAATTATCTCTCTCTTGAATTTTTTTAAGCATGCATGAACCAACTAGTTAAAAACAGTCTAAAGCTGCCACCATGATCTTTTTGAGAGTTAACTAGAAAATCCAACAAAATGGTAAGGGAGGTAACATCCAACAAAATGGTAAGGGAGGTAACAGTGGAGCATTATGCCAACACATTGATGGGCTCTTCTGGATGTAGAAAGAAAGCAATTAATAATAAAAGTCTGTTCATCAAGGCAACAGGCATAGCTGGATCTATACCTGAGACTTGGGACTTGGCCAAAGCCCACTCAACTCTTCTCTCCCTCGGTTCCTCCTCCTCTCAAAAATGCAGAGGCCAAGCTCCGAGTCTCAGGTGTGTATATCCTGCTATGGAATCTAATAATCCATGTCTTTCAACTTACAAAAAATTAGTGAAGTTGAAAGAAATGGGTTGCTTGGACCCTCAGCCAGTTCTTTCCACAAACTTGGTCCCCTCCTAGTTTCCTGTATTTCTTCCAGAATAATTTTTCCCAAATAACTTTGATGTCACTGCACAGAGCTCATTCTGGGATCATTCTGCCCAAATCCTGCTTTCTGTAGGCAGCAGTTCTGGGGGAGAGTCAATAGTCCCCCTAGAGATAGGGATCAAAGCGGGTGTCTGCGGGGAGAGGGACACTCCTCTGGCCACTTCTTCTGTTTGATCTTGAAGGGATTTGGCCTCCTTCCCTGCAGCGAACTCAGCTGAACTGTTTGCCAAGAAGAGGCTAGGTCAGCCTTCTTTCTGGGAGCTCAGCCTTCTCTGAGGTCACAGCTGGCATGCGGCTCTCTATGAAGGGGTGTTTTCCTTCTGGTTCTAGTTTGGTTGCTAGGGCTGCTGGCAACTACCTGTTTAGCTGGAAGGTGACTTTGAACTGTGTGACTACAGTTGTCTTAAGTATTATACAATAAATTTTTCCTCTAGTTTGGTCCAGGGCTGCAACAATATGGAAACTCTAATAAAGGGCCTATGAACAATAACAAGATGTCTGTGTGGCTGTGCTTTTAAAGTAGAAGAGTCACGAGCGAGTAATACACAGTTCTGACAGAAAAGAGGCACCTGACATCCACATGATGTAGTAGTTGTTGAAAAATCACATTTACCACTTCTGCCACGCAATGTGATCTTCCAGACGTGGAAGATGAGAACTTTAAGAGCTGCCCTGTGAAACCTAACCTCTAAAGATACACAAGAAAATGTGGACTGCTTTTTAATAGAAACTGTAAAAATTGATGGCAATTAAGTATCTTAATACTAATAGAAGGATGTCATTCTGTACACCATTTATACTTATGTATTGTGGGAAAAAATAAGATTGGTTTTCTTGGCAATTATTCGGCGGATATCATTCTGGAAGTGGCTTTTCTAAATTTCTTCAACTCTTTTCTGGGAAAACTTTTATCTTTACTCTGCAGCCAGGCGTGACTCAGGCAGAGTGTACCGAGGTGACTCACCTCCAAGCAGGGTGTACCAACAGCAACTATTTAAAATAAAAATCATTAGCATGAATCAAAGTAAACTACATACATGTTAAAATAAATAATTTATAGTAAAACTTGAGACAAGTGAAAACTGTCTATTTGCCTTTATTGAAGAAGCAGTGCTAATGTTTGTTTATAACATGGTTCATCCACAGTAAACTGGTGTTAAATAACAGTTGCCTTCATTCAGTACATTTTTACTGAGCACTTTCTAATGGGCTATGCTCAAATAACTGGACGCCAGAAAAATGTTTTGTATTGTCTGTCTACTGTAGGCATATAAGAAATGCCTACTGTCTGTATTTGTTACAATGTGCAAGGGTCCTTTTCCCTGGATGGTAATTGGGACTTAAAACAGGTTATATTAGGAAGGAGGTGGCCCAGCGGAGAAAGCCCTGGTTTAGAGTCCACAGAGCTGGACAAAATCTACTCATCCCACTGTTGGGAACAGCACACTAAACCCCTCTGGGCACACTTCCTCATGGGCTAAGGTGTCACAGACCTCTGCCAGGGTATGTGAGAGGTAAAGGAGAGAGAAGCCTGACAGGAAGTGACTAGTAAATTAATTTCCCCTTGAATTGTTTTATAATGTGTTAGAAAACATGTTTTGTCCAGTGCAAAAAGTATCTTGTTTATGTACTGCCTTGTAGCCACAGAACATGTGAGCATATTTCTGCCTAGGGAAGCAGTTGGTAACAGGACTAAGCACTCTGTTTTGGAGTCAGGATCATGGAAGTACTTGTACAAAAGGGGCAGAGTTTGGATTTTATTGGGTCATCTACACTGATGTGTTCATATAAGTATTTTTCTTAATGTATAATAGCTTGGGATGTTACCAGCTAAATTATTAAATTTTTGATCCCCACTAAGTGGGAGAAATTGGTAGAAAATGTATTTGCCAGATGGAATGAGAATACTGCATACAAATAGAGGTCATCATACATCATCTTAACGGTTTTCTCTGTAGTCACAGTGGAATTTGTATACTAGTCATTTTCTCTTCTCCATCTATAACTTGCCTTGGAATCTGAAATCAGTAGAATCACTGAATTATATTCTACACCATAGTGATTTTTTTTTCCCCCAACAGGAAGATGTATGAGGCAACCACAGTAAAACAGAGCCCACAGGTTGGCCTGGTTGTCATTACAGGTCCTTTCAAAGTTAGTTCAGACTCCCACTGCTCAACTGGAGGACAGCAACAATGGCTTTAGAGTCTCACCTGCCCTCCAGGCTCAGCTCTGGAGACAGCCCTCAGCGCTGCACAAAGCCAGGACTGTGCAATGCTCACTGCAGGGCTCACCAAAGCTCAGAGGTGCTTTGTGAGCAATCTCATCTGCTCGCCACATGCTGGCATCTGGTATAGGCTGTGCCTGCTTTGCTTCTCATGTTCCAATTAGCTGGGGCTGATCTTTCCTCAGTGCCTGGTCCTAGAGAGTGCAAACCCATCCAGGCAGCCCTTACGAAAACCACCCGGCTTTCAAGTGCTTTCAATCTGAACGAAAGACAATATCGTGGCCACTGCAACTTTTATACTCAGATTTGTTTAGATTGTCTCTGTTCTTCCCCAGGCCTTTGCTCCTTAGAATAGCATCTCTCAGACTGGGTGATGAGATCTTTAGCTGGCAGGGATGAGGATGTCAAGGAGGTGCAGAGTCTCAAGGAGGCCATGGTTAATTGGGAAGGGGCAGGCACTGTAAACTGCAAATCATGTGAATGAGATGAGAGGTGCTGTTCTCTCCCGGCATTTGGGATTAACTAATTATTTTAATAAAGGCATGCATTTAATAAAGGGTGTGTGTGTGCACACACATGCACACACATGCACACACAAGACTTAAGAAGGGGAGGACAACAGAAAAAAAATCAAGATAAAAGTATTAATACCCTTACATGAGTCCTGTGATTTGTGATAACATTGTACCAGCTAGCGGCAGAAGCCACCACGAGACTGAGTGCAGAAAGGGTATTTGGTTCTAAGCAATCTGTGTGCACTGTTCACTCTGACTGCTCTGAGTGTGTGCAAGCTAAAGTCTCTGCCTAGCTATGTAGACTTTGAGGCTGGACAGAGCTTTTCCATTTCAGCCCCCTTGGTCCTACTACAAATTGGTGTGGTGGAAGGATAGATTGCTCTCCACTCCCACCCTTCCCTACAACTTGAATATTGAGGCTAAAGGGCTCCAGAAAACTACCTTCCCAGCAGCATATACCAAAACCTCCACACAGAATGAGGCAGTTGGGAACCATTCAAACTGCCTCAAGTAGGAAATTCAGTTTCAAAAATGCCATCCTCCCTCCCTACTAGTTTTGTAGGCATCCCAACTTCCTGTCTTCTATACCTGCAGTCTGAGTGAAATGGTGAAGTGGCTGTTCAAGAGCAGGTAGCAAGGGCAGAGTTCTTATTCCAGGAGGTTTTCTCTTCTAATACCTGCTTGCCTGAGAACAGACTACATTTTCTGGTAGAATATTCCAGTAACTGCATCTATAGAAGTGAGGCTGAGATGTCTCGGTGGTTTATTGACATCATGAAGGGCTCCACTGCCACTCTGCCATCCAAAGGGATTCTACCTCAACAGACTATTTTAAGAGATGGGGTCTCGCTATGTTGCCCAGGCTGGACTCAATCTCCTGGGCTCACACAATCCTCCACCTCAGTCTCCCAAGAAGTTGGTATTATGGGTGTGCCGCACCCCACCCAGCTTGACAAACTGATGTTTAAGTTAGCTATGGTATCCTCTCCCCTCCTTGATGATGAATTTTTCAACCCTAGGGGCCATCCTATTGTTCCCTTGGCTAAATAATAGACCTAGTAGGGACTCCCACAATTGTGTTCTGAAGAAATCTTTAGGAGTCACCTAATGTCATTTAAAACTACTGGCCACTACAATCCTAGCACTTTGGGAGGCCGAGGCAGGTAGATCACTTGAGGTCAGGAGTTCGAGACCAGCTTGGCCAACATGATGAAACCCTGTCTCTACTAAAAATGTAAAAATTAGCCAGGTGTGGTGGTGGGTGCCTGTAATCCCAGCTACTAGGGAGGCTGAGGCAGGAGAATGGCTTGAAGCTGGGAGGCAGAGGTTGCAGTGAGCCAAGATCACACCACTGTACTCCAGCCTGGGTGACAGAACAAGATTCTGTCTCAACAAAATAAATAAAAATAAATACATAAAACTACATAACGATAGAATGAAGCATCATTCTGCTCTTGTTCATATGCCACCACTTCTCTAATTACCACGTGTTAGGAGAATCTTGGGAACTTCTCTCCTATACACTTGTTTGTCTGGGGTCTTAAATCATCTAGTCTACTGCTCACACGTAACATGTAGCCTACCTGAGTGACAGCAACCCCCTTCTGACTAGCCCCAACCAGTACCTCTCTGAAAGCGCGGGAAGACCTTCCAGAGGAGCTGTGCGGTGGAGTGCAGAGCACTGGTCTTTTTGCCAGGTAGCCCAACCGCTTAATTTCTGAGACTCACTTTTCCAACACTCAGTCCTCTTCTGAATCTTCAGCCTATTCCCCGCTGCTGTCACATGTTCAGGGCTGTCATCTGTAACCCGATGAACACAGGTTACTGGGGGCTTCCTTCACAATTGGCCTATAGATGACAGGCAGTGTGCTCAACACCTGAAACCTACTTCGCTCAGTCCCCAGCAACCCTATGGCATAGGTTCCATCCTTATGCCCATTCTTCCGATATATCCAGAAAACAAATAGCTTCTCTAGGTTACACAGGGAAAGACAGTGGAACTGAGAACTAGAACCCAAGTTGGTTTAATCGCAAAGCCCATGCTGTCAACTAGTTGTGTTGGTTAATCCCGCAGCAGCTACAGTTGGTGATTTTCACTAAAACATTGAATAACATCAGTATCAATGACAGGGTTCTCTGTCTTTCAGGAGTTAAAGTGTGTTATGCCATGTCAAATAGTAGCAAGAAAAAAAATGCTAAAATAGACATTAAAACTGTGATGATGAAACAGTGAGACTTTAAAAAATAGAATTTACACAGCCAAATGGATTTTTTCAAAGTATAGTACTGAAAGCACAGCCATGATTTCATTGTTCAAAGCATTTTTTCAGATTACTATTTATGTGGCATCAATGCCTGTTTACAAGAAAATTAGTCTCATAAAATTATAGCCACACCTTATACTTTTGGTAGACTTAATGAGTTACTTAGGTTGAAATGTTAAAGGGATTAAAATCAAGGTGGGACAACACAAAAGCTTGTTTTAAATATGTGAGCCGTACAACTCACCAAGAGAAAGCATAATTAGTGTATATTGTTGTATAACATAGTGACTAACAGTGGCTGTACCCTCTCCAATGATGACTGGTTGAATCTCAAATGAGTTTCTGAAAGCTGATATGTTAGTCAAAACACCTACCATTAACAGAACCCAGTGGAGAATCATTTTCTTTTTTTTTTTTCTTTTTTTATTTTTGAGACAGAGTCTTGCTCTGTCGTCCAGGCTGGAGTGCCATGGCGCCATCTCGGCTCACTGCAACCTTCGCCTCCTGGGTTCAAGTGATTCTCCTGCCTCAGCCTTCCAAGTAGCTGGGATTACAGGTGCCCGCCACGACGCCTGGCTAATTTTTTGTATTTTTAGTAGAGACGGGGTTTCACTATGTTGGCCAAGCTGGTCTCAAACTCCTGACCTCATGATCTGCCTGCCTCGGCCTCCCAAAGTGCTGGGATTACAGGCATGAGCCACCGCACCCAGCCAAGAGTCATTTTCTAACACTGGATTTGTACATGGTAGTTTCCCAGTTCCAAGATGTGGTTCCACCTTACCCCCACGCTGCATCATTCAACAGTTCCCAAAGAGGAAACACATTTTACAATTGATGTCAGAAAAAGTTAACCATTTCCCCCAGAAAAACTACTATTAACAGTGAATCTTAAGAACGTGAGAGGGCCATGATTTTTATTTTAGAAAGGTATCTTAGTAAGCATTAAAACGATCCTTCTCTCCATTTTACTAAACAGAATTGAAGTCTAGGTGATGGCTATCAGAGGTTCACCATCTTTTTCAGCAAGTCATCTCATAAGTTGCCTGGTTCTTTTTAATCTCAAACTTTCATTTGTATTATAGGTAAATAAAAATATCACTGGCCAGGTGCGGCGGCGCACGCCTGTAATCCCAGCACTTTAGGAGGCTGAGGTGGGTGGGTCACGAGGTCAGGAGTTCGAGATCAGCCTGACCAACATGGTGAAACCCCATCTCTACTAACAATGCAAAAATTAGCCGGGTGTGGTGATGTGTGCCTGTAATCCCAGCTACTCAGGAGGCTGAGGCAGGAGAATCACTTGAACCTGGGAGGCAGAGGTTGCAGTGAGCTGAGATTGCGCCACTGCACTTCAACCTAGGCAACAGTGAGACTCCATCTCAAAAAACAAATAAATAAAAATATCACTAAGAGGAAGCATAGGAGAGAGGGAAAAAAGTGGCTAGGTACGGTGGCTCACGCCTGTAATCCCAGCACTTTCGGAGGCTGAGGCAGGCAAATCACGAGGTCAGGAGTTCGAGACCAACCTGGCCAGCATGGTGAAACCCCGTCTCTACTAAAACTACAAAAAATTAGCCAGGCATGGTGGCACACACCTGTAGTCCCAGCTACTTGGGAGGCTGAGGCAGGAGAATTGCTTGAACCTGGCAGGTGGAGTTTGCAGTGAGCCAAGATTGCACCATTGCACTCCAGCCTGGGTTACAGAGCGAGACTCCATCTCAAAAAAAAAAAAAAAAGGATCCTCTTGACCTAAAACTTGGTCTTTACTTTCAAGTGTCAAAAAAGATTCATGACGTTTAGGAGGCAAGTTTGGGGAGATGAGGAGAACCAAGAGCAGTGACACTAGGCCCAGCAGCACTGCCAGGACCCACCCTCCCTCTTGAACAAATGCTGTCAAAACACAGTGGAGGATGATGCAAGGCACCTGGGGCTCTCACTGAGGCTCAGTTCTTAACCACAGACTGAGCAAACAGCAGCAGCGGGCCTGTATTTGGAAGCAGAGAACCTGACTGACATGACCTTCCCTCCCGCTGGCCCCAAGATCTCTCCATGGCAAGCAGCTTCATTCACCTGAGAACGCAGAGATGTGGAGTTGGGAAAGAAAAAGCTACTCCCTCACCTCCTATGTCTAAGGGAAGGATGTTAAAAATCCCTTCCTGGTTCCAAACATGGTGCATGGAAAATATTTTTTGAAAACAATAAAAGGATACTGAGAGACTAGGCCTTTTGACTATTTGGTAGACTTAAACTATTTTAAAACGCCAGCCAGAAAGACTGCTGCAGCCCCTACCTTCTCATCCTGGCAGGCTGACAGTCGCATTGCTGAGTTACATCTTTCCTGGAATTCAGTGGTCAAGAATGAATGCTGCCATTTCCAGGACAAGGGCCTGCATCCTATGGGGACTCTGGTGAGACGGTAAGGAAGTGAAGCCCCCACTTAGGTCCAGGGCTCATGTCAAAGGTCAAAAGCCAGCCTGAGAGAAAGCAGGGAGCTGTCAGACCGCAAGGGTAAGCTTTAGCGATGGAAATGCGGGTGGCCTCACAGGTGCTTCCTTTTGTTCGTTAGGCAGCGTTTTATAAGAATAACCTAAAAGTGTCCTACCCAGGTTCTATGTGCGATAAAAATGCACCGATGTATTTTTTTTCCCACTATGCTTATATTCAAATTTTTAAAAATTAATAAGCTCCCTTTTATCAGTCATAAAATGAAGAAAAAAAGTCTCTCGACTATTAGACCTATATGACCCAGGATACCAAACAAGGATGTCCATTTTAGGGAAAGTCCTGTCTGAAAGTCTGGATCTGAGATTTTCAAATGGGCTATTTTATACTTAATTTTATCAAAACCTAGTCCTAATCTAGGCTCTGTGACAAAATACCTAGTGACTTTGGACACATTCCTTAAGCTTTCTGCTAATGAGGCTACTGGACCTCAGGATTTCTGATGTCTTTCCAACTCCAAAATTCTATCTTGGAAGACATTTTCTCAAGCCAATGATTAAAAGAAGCTTACGTTACACTATTTCACTTTGTTGGCAAAGAAGAAACAGATGTTCCTTAAAAATTGTTCTCTGTGCCCTTATTACTGCTTTCCTGGTAAGAAATCTGGCAGCGATGGCCACAGGCAGGTTTCACACAAACGCCTTCTCCTGCCACTCCTCCTTCCCATCACTCCCACTTTAAAAATTAACAGCCGGCCAAAGAAGAGGGGAAATAGCTTCTGCTAAATTATCAACTTTTTACTTTTATAAACGTTTGAGTGTATTACAATTTTATATTATACATTTCTTTTTCAATTCAAATTTTCAGACGAAAACATTGTATTTTAGTAGTCAATTTATAGGCAATTTGCAACAGCGATTTCTCATGGAAAAAAGACACAGACAGACAGTAATCATTCAGATCTGTGGAACTGACTGACCATGAAAACTGACCTCCTGCAAACCATGCACACAGAGATATGCCGACCCATCCAGCAGCAGCATCTTCACGATGAACTGAATAAAGACACATCTTATGTCGTGCCCAGAATGTAGGGCAAGACTCAAAGCTCCAGGCAGTAAAATGTTCTTATAAAGGCAAGATCCAGGTGCTGCTCGCTGCAGTGCTTCACAGACATACCACGTCGTGCCGGTGGCTTGTCACTCTCGCATGCAGCAACAGGGGGCATGGTGCACTCGCACTCTCGGAGGAAGTACTTTTCCCTTGATGAGAGAACGAATCCAGGCAATTCTTCATAAAAATGACAAGGTTCAAAAAAAAAAGTTTGCTCCAAGGCACCAAGGGTATAAAGCTGTTTAGAAAATACACAGAAGTGAACAGACTAAAAAAGGAAATTAGTTCTTAATGGAGAATCTATTACTGCTGTAACTGGTGTAATAATCACTTCAGATAGATTACAATCAAAATGCACATTGATTAGACTGTGCTGTGTGAGAGAATGTCAGAACAAAGAGCCTTCCCACAGGCACTCGGGGCACTGGCTGGAAAGTGCTCTCAGGGGTTCTTCTCAGAGCCGGAGAAGCTGCACATCATTTGTATTTGTAAAATCCTTCTCCAGTCTTCTTGCCAAACTTGTTCTCTGCTACCAGCTTATTCAAGAATGGGCTGGGCTGATGTAATGGGTTCTTCACATCTATTTCATGCCACCCTATTGAGAGGAGGGAAAAGAACTCAGGATGAAGTGCTGGGTTTATTTTTACACCTTGGCATTCCCAAGGGCAAGTCTGGAGGCCTGCCTCTGCTGTGGGAGAGCCCCCCAGGCATGGCACCCCTCTGGCCACCACTGCAGAGGCACCAAGGAAGGCTGTGCTGGTGCAGTCACATCAGCCCCAAAGCTGCTGCACTGCCACCCACCTGTGCTGCCTGAAGCCTGGCCCTGCTATGGCCCTCCTGCTTATCCAGTGTCTTCTCAGAAATCACTAAGGCCAAAGGCCCAAGTACACTGACAGAAGCCATTAATTTGCTTCTGTTAGTTAACTATCACTGGCACAGTTAACTTTCAGAATACACGATAAAAAGTCTGCATTCCTGCCATTGGTATTTTGCATTCACATAAAATTCAAAATTTAATTCTTCAACTAGTATTCTGTGAAACTTGGGAACAGATAGCTACATTCAACTTCAGTAGTCCAGTTTTAATTATTATTTTTACCCTGTCTTCAGAGCTATTACATTACAATGGATATATATATTTTTAAATGGATGTGTATCTTGCTTGCAATAGAGGTTACACAAATCAATTTATGTGATAAAATAATACATTGTACCAATGTCAATTTCCTGGGATTTAATATTATACTATGGCTATATAACCATTGGGGGAAACTGGGTGAAGGTCACACAAGACCTTTTTGTGCTATATTTTGTCTTCAAGGTTACCCTGTTAAAGAGATACTAGGCAGTCACATTCTTCCTTCTCCTGTCATCTGTTCATGAATCCTCAACCTGCTAAGGCAGGATTTTGGAAGGTCTTAATTAAGACCCCTGCTAACTTGTTTTTAAAAGGCATTATAATTTACAGTTCAGAAAAACTACCTCAACTCAATAAAGACAACAAAAAATTCCAATTCCTACCATCCACGATGAACTTTGTAGTATCTAGTCCGACATAATCTAGAAGCTCAAATGGGCCCATGGGGTAACCGGCTCCTAATTTCATAGCAGTGTCAATGTCTTCTTTGGATGCATCACCTAAGGAGAAAAGGGCAGCACTGGGTCACCACCACCTTTCCTTGAATTCTCCTTATCACAGGATTAGCCCCAGAATTACTAGAATTTTATATGCTTGCACAATAAAAAAAAATGTCTTAGAGTGAGACTTTCTGGCTTGGGTAAGATTTCCTCTCTAAAGTACATGCCAAAGAGGTCATAAGGTTTTATTTGTTTTTTTGAGACAGAGTCTTGCTCTGTTACCCAAACTGGAGTGCAATGGCACAATCTTGGCTTGCTGCAACCTCTGCCTCCTGGGTTCAAGTGATTCTCCTGCCTCAGCCTCCCAAGTGGCTGAGACTACAGGTGTGCACCCCCATACAGAGCTAATATTTATATTTTTAGTAGAGACAGGGTTTCACCATTTGGCCAGGCTGGTCTCAAACTCCCAAACTCAAGTGATCCTCCCGCCTCAGCTTCCCAAAGTGCTGAGATTACAGGTGTAAGCCACAGTGTGTGGCCCAAGATTTTCAAAGCTACTGCACCACTGAGGTGAATTCTGGAGTACTAATACCCTGTTCACTGAGACAGAAGCCTCCATGCCTGGAAACTTCAGCTACTTTCAAATAAATTGGGATTTTCCAACTCTGGAATCATTTATTAAAATATCATTTAATGCTACAGCATATTTTTGATTTATAAATAAACTTTCTTTAAAAAGAAAACTAAGCTTTCTGCTTTTGTATGTATAGTTATTGTATGTATTTTTTTCCCCTAGTTTTTTGGGTTTTACAAGTAAGGAGTACTCCTCTGGCATCACATTCACACAAATCTTTTAGTCAAGATACCTTTTAAAGAAAATCCCAAACCTGAGTTAGAATTGCCACACGTTTGGAAGTCTGTTGAGTAGACTAAGACAAGGATCAATGTGCTTTTCCCTTGGAAATTTACTCTTACTATGTCCTTTGGCCCCAAGAGGCCTTTATAGAGAACAACCTGTTCCCT